TCAGTGTAAAATCAACAAAGCCAAGCCCAAACTTGTGGAGTTTGTGATACAGAAATCTCGTTATCGTCTTTGCCGTCATTTCTCCATTTATTTTCAATTGTTGAATGCTAAGCCAATGGTATTTCTCACCTTTAAACTCACCGACTGTGAAGTCAAATTTGAATGAACCCGCCAACTTGGCCACACATGCGTTCTTAATCTTGTGCGTAGGCATTGTAATGCTAATGCTCGCGCCACCGTGGAAAACTGGTCGTCGATCAACTTGCGCACATATTGAGCGGGGTACCTTTTGCCCTATGCGGAATAACACATGAATCGCTGGACTGCTGGGCAGCTTAAAGAGCATAACACTGTATGGGTATATAAGTGCTAAAACAAAACCACTTTCTAAAACCGTTGGGCAAAAAGAGACAAGTCTACCTATAACAGAGCCTGAAAGTTGACAAGTTGGCAACTCACAAAACAGGTATTGCTTTTCTGATTTTTTAGCTGTTTTGGCAACAGCTGGAACAGCTCTTTCTTTTCTGATTACTTTTTTTCATTTTCTTTTTGGGTTTTTGGCAAATTGCAAAAAAGGCATTCTTTTTATCCTTTTTTGTTTTTTTGTTTTTAGTTGTTTCGGCAACAGCCGGAACAGTATTGTTTTTCTGATTTTTTTTTTCTTTTTCAACACAATTCCTTCCACCAGTCGACTTTGGCAGTTTACTAAATCTGATCGACTTCAAACTTGGCAGACTTTTGAGCCATTATCCACAAACGGTCCCAGAAGAAATTCACAGTGATGATTTAAGTAGTTTATTTATTATTGATTTTTTAAGAATTAATTTTTCCCCATGGACTTTGTACACAGATTGCACACAGTTTTCGGACTGTCCTTTATCAGGCTATGAGGGCGCTATTGCAGAATAATGGTGACACCTCCCTGGGCTTTCAATTTTCAACAAACTGACCTATATTGAACCATGGATGGCGTTGCTGCACAGCATAGGGTTTGTACACACATTGTCG